CTACTTGTATATTCTACTTTTATCCAACTTCAACACGTATAAGAAGTGTCATCTTCAGTTGCAAATATCTCAGCTTCGGAATGGTTAAATGTTTTCTAATTGTAGACGCATAGATAGAATTAGATTTCCGCCAATATGCAGCGAAATTTCAAAGTATTCCTAAGAAAATAATTTTGGGCGGGTCGACTATCTTAAACTCGGCGAACTGCCGATCGGATATCGCGGTGGCAAACGGTTCGCGCAAACACAACTTATTATTTGATGTGAAAACACCGAGAGAGCGTACGGTGTAAAAACGTAGGACGAAAAAACACGACGGTTACCTCCCGCGAATGTACGGTTATCGCGGTGAAAAAAATAAATATCGGCGTTAGATCTCGACTATGAGATATCCGGGACGCTCCGGCTCTGCGACTCTCAAAATTGATTATTATCGTCGATAAAGCCCGCATACCCGCGACGCACACAGCGAGGAGGGATTTCACGGCTCGGCACGTCCGCGGTGCGCGAGCGAGAGTTTCGCGCCTAACGCGAGGGAGAGTTAATGAGGCACCGGGATTAATCGTATCCGAATAAAATTCCGCCACCGGCTCGATGTAAATGGATTTCTCGCGAGTGCGCACCCAAGCGATTCGCGCCCGGTTCGTCGAATCCCGCCGCTCCGTGCGCCTTTAATTACCGGTCGCTCGTCTTCCGATTTGCGTGTCGCGTCCTCGTTATGGGCCTTGAAATCGCACGGGCCTACCCGACAATTTCGACGTCGAATAGAGATCCGCATCAGGAGCGTATGGACGCGTAGGAGGTCGCCCGTTGCTTCTTATGCCGGCGTTCGAATCACCGCGCGCATATCAATACGACGCTCCGATCCATCATGCATTGAAATCTTCCCGGGGGATCCACGGCCATTGCGAATACGTGTTCCTCCCGGATCTGTCTTTTGCGAGAGCCGAAAGGTGGAGTATGGGAAGCGAAAAATTTATCTCAAGATAAGGGAAGTTTCCTCAGCGTTTCGTTGAGAACGGAGAACCGGCGGGAGGAAGGAGTACAAAAAAAGAGGAGACAAGAGGAGGACGACGAAGCGTTCTCGAATTTCATGCGCAATAATCATGTAAAATTCACCGTTAATAAGCTGCGTATTCCGTACGAATCGCCCGTTCCCGTTAATACGAAATTAAAAATACTCTCCGTTCTTGTTTCATCGACGCGTCTGGTAATTAAATTTGCGCGATATTAACTCTCACAGTCGCGGCGCATTATTTATCGGACACATGTTCGCTTAATTACGTCCGTTGTTTGTTCGGACAAATAATTACTTTAACCTCGTAAATAAAAAACAGAAAAATTATCGGACTATTGAAAAACCGTTCCATCGCGGCTCCTCGCAGGTGAAAAAAGAGGTGTGCGGTTTGTAGAGAGCAAGTCGAATACGAAAGCCAGAATTCGTTGAGCACTCAAAACCGAGTTGCCTCCGTGGCCGGGGAATATGTTATGCGAGAATATGGCGTGGCCAAATGCAATTTGGAAATTACCTCGGGCGTGGCGATAATTTAACTTACACCGTTCGCCGACTACTGCTGTGTTTTCGTCCGACATTTTTAGGTTGCTCACGAATTTCGCTTAGAGCAGGTGCTTATGATAGGAGAATATGTGTGAGGAGAAAATACGAAGCCGGCACCGCATGCAGAATATTATGGCACATATATATATATGTATATTTTTTTTTCATCTCTATATATAGAAGTGTGAAATACTATTTTTCGCAATTTTGCTCGAATGTTTCCTTCCTTTTTTTACAATAGCTCCTCTATAAAATAAAACAATTTTCACATATCATCGTACAATCGAGCAAAAAAAACTTCCACAAATTTTCCGCCGAGAGAGGTCCGTTAAAAATTGTACAGAGATAGTAATCAGTTTTTCGTTCTCTTTTTCTGCGAACACGTTACTCCGGGAATCTACAACGCCAACTTTTACAAAGCAACCACGAATAATGTGCAAGCGCTTTTAATTAAAGTATAACGCGAGGTGGTGTGTATATGTAAGAATCAAGCTTTACGAATTTCACACCGAGGAGAAATAACAGACTTTCGTGATTAAGGGGATGCCATACTTGAAAATCTCACCGGCAGAATACTGACTTTTTTTCCGCAAAGTTTATGTCTTATTGGTTGCACAGAATTACAAATGCTTTTACATAAAGAAAGTATGTGCGAAAATGAATCGGAATTATTATTCAGTACGTGGTAAGAATGATTCAAAATTTCAAAGTGACGTCTCTAATTATCAATTAGCGTAAATATTTATCTGATATAGAAGTCTTGCAGCTTGTACCGAATGTGTCAATGCTCTGATCAGAAAAATGTCAAGGAACGTATTTACGAATTTACATATTTGCAAAATAGCACAGGACTTTTTTTATTCACCTGAATCCGTTCAATGTCCTCGCGAAGTTCGTCCATGTTGAACTGGGACACTCTCTGTATGCACGAAAAATACAAAAAGAGTAGTGTGATCGTGTTAATGTTTATGTAACATATCATTTTGAGAATTGCACTTACGTTGTCGATGGTTATCAAGTTCGTCATCGACTTTGACATTACCGTAACAAAGCGGGCTTTCTGAATTCACGCGCGTGTCGCCGACAAAAGCAGTGTCATTACATCGCGTATCTCGTTGCAACGCTAATGAATTGTTCGCTCGATACTAACAGCATCGAGGTTCGATTTAGCCCGACAAGAGGCGTCTTTCAGCGATGACCAGTCGAGCGTGTCGGCGTCTGGTCAGCCTGGTAGGATTTTTAATGCGATTTACTGCGGCGACTCGTGTAGCCGACAATAAATATCGGTTATCGAGCTTTCAGCCGTGGAGTATCACGCGATGCATCGGGTGTCACGAATCCGCATGACGCATGGCGAGCAAAATGGTGTTGCGGTGCATTAAAGAATTATGATCTTAATCACACCGCGCACGAGCTTGCAGCTTGCTGCTGGCAGCGCGATGTAACGCTTTGTAATATTAGAGCTCTGCTATATTCTCCCTTTTTTCCTCCTTGTCCGGAGCGATTATATAAATATTCAGAGAACTACAAAATAAAAAACATTTTGTACTTGTGTTAAAATTCCTGCATTAAATATTTAACATACCAGTTTGTTAATTTAACATATCGTGTTTGTCATCTTAATATATTTTATATTGAGTCGATATTCAACATGTGTGAGTGTTCAAATAACACTTGTGAGTATTAAAATAATACATTTTATAGCTCAGTGTCGATCAACATATGGATATTATAATTTTGTGTTAATTATTTTTGACATAATATTTGTGTTACTTTTCAAACATACTCATTTCGTGTTAAATTAAGACAAATATAGACCGTTTGGGACAGGTGAAATGTATTAAATTTAACACAAAATTTCTTACTGCGTATGATGAACAAGTTTCTCGTTCCGTGAATGTTGTATGAATTCCGTTACACGAGAAGCGTAATGGAATTTTAATAATGAATTTGAGCGAGATCGACAAAACTTTGATGTGAATGAAATATCCGGGTCGTATAATTCGATATTTTTTTCCGACGGTCCCCTATTTAAAGCTCACAACGATAACGAGACGACTTTCGCGTTTTAATCTGTCCGAGGTTTCACTCCTCGATTCGTATTCGCGATCGACCGCGAAATTATCCGTCGCGATTCCGCACAGTCGACGATCTTACCGATTAGACACGTGCGCGCTCGTGCGCACATCTGCTGTTAGATAATTTCCCCCACCGAAATAATCTTATTCGAATATCACTTACTAATCTCCCACGCGACTCTTAAAACTCGCGCGCGAAAAATTAATTAAACTTTCTACATTCGCTCGGAACTGCCGGCCCGTAGTTTTCTCGGGTCGCGCGCTCAACTCTTTTTCGCAAAATGTTCCGTTCGCGACAGTCTTCTTAATTAACAGCATTCTCATCGGGAGCCGCCGTAACCGGCGAACACGCGCCGAATGTTCGCTGATTCGAGGAACACAGAAGTAATCTCGCACATCGCTTATCTTTCCCACCACGATATATCGTCTATCGGCTTTAAGTGAACTCTTTCTCTCTTAACGCATTCCGCACCGTGTGGGCCCCACCGGTGCTCCGCTTTGAACTTTCAGACCGTTCAGATCGTTCGACATTTTGGCACCGAAACGAAATATAATTGTGAAATGCTTTGGTAATTACCATGATGCGTTATTTGACAAGTTATTTGACAAATAAAATTGGATCCATAACACGAGAACGTGGCCGATAGATCATGTAAAATTAGTCGGGCGTGGAATATGTTAAACAGCGCGCACGTAAAATAAATGTGCCGATTAGCGACAAAGTAATCTCATAGTGAAAATAAATATAATTATATATATATAATTATGAATTTACCTCAATGTGTGAAACATGTATGCCTATATTACTGACAGGTGACGAACGTACGGACAACCTTATTACTGACAGGCAAAAATGATTATGTCATAAATTGACTCAGAATCATGAACGCCCTTACTGACTTAAATATAACAGTTTATATGCTAAGAATTCACATTCGTACTATTTGCTAAATTTTGGAGTAACCTGGATATATATATAAAATTTAAAGCAGAAGCACAGTTTTTAGGGATTTTTAGGATAAATACGGAGCTATATTATTTGACTTATTAAGAAAAACAAATTGTTAATTGGAACATTCGCCTTATGTTTCGACCGAAACGATTTTACAAACCGAAAGTCGTCGCCGCAAAACAACTTTATTTCACGAGCGTTCATTTATTTCCGCTCGCGCATAGCTCACCGCTGACTAATAAGCTCGATTACGCCTATCAATCTACGTACTATATCAATTTAACGTCATCATGATAATTTAATATCGTTAGATTAATTAGCCGTTTGACCCGTGAGAGCACTCAACGGGTCCTTTACCATAGCGGCAGTTAAACCCGCTTTAATGGAGGCTATCGACGTTTTGCGTTTTCAGAGATGGTGTACGATTTAATAGAAGCGACAGTGTCGTCGATGACAACCGACGACAACAATTTCTACATAGACGACGGCCTGGACGGATTCCCGGCGTTTGGCTTTCGACCCGGCTCCGAGGTGAAGCAGCCCTACAGACTGTACCTGCCGGAAAAGTTGCCGGCCGAGTTCACTCTGGTGGCTACGTTCAAGCCGACCTCCTTCAGAACGAGCTACCTCTTCGCCGTCCTCAATCCCTTCGAAACGGTCGTCCAGTTGGGAATTAGAATTTCGGTAAGCCGCACCATCGGGCGCAGCTTCTCCACTCGCTGTTTCCGCGAGAAGCCTCCCCCTCCAGGCTAGATTTTTGTCACCGAGGCTCACGGTTTGCAAAAATGATTATTCGCGACTCCCCGGACGAGATTTCTCACTTTCGGGAACGTTAACGGCTTTATTAAGGATTATAACGAGCGCGACGTAGCGCCGGGCTCTGACGATTGGGGGAAATAATGTGGCGTGTGGAGATCGAGGAGCAAATGTCGTGCGGAAATGAGGGGATGAGGCTGAGAAATACGACGTCACATTAAATCACGAAGGAATCCGCTTTAACAGCTCGGCGGTGGTTATTAGCTCCTTAAGCGCGCTTTATCAGGGCGGCCCTGTGATATTCCTCCGCGGGCATCCCTCTGTCACGCGAACGAATAAATATTCGCCGGACGAAAACGGCGGGAGGGGGATCGTTTCTTCGCCGACGCGATATCGGAGATAACGATTCCGCGCGATATACACTTCCTCCTTTTATTATTATGTTCCGGACGATACTCTCCAGCTGCTGTCTCACCCCCCTTCCCGGCCCTGCTCTTATTACAATGCTGCGCTTTAAGCGATCTTTAGCGAACGCGCAGTGTCTTCCGTTTGCCGATTCCTCGGAGAGACCGCAGTTACACGTTCGATCTTGAAATTTCTCCGAGCTCCTTGCGCTCTCCTTTCGGAGAGCCATTCCCGTAACATGTCATGTACGTGTTCCGAACAATAAGCAAGCCGGAATGCTTCGGACATTTCTGGGGAAACCTCAATATACCGGGAGGTACTCCCAAATAATATTGCCATTGTTCAACACGTGAAATTGCGGCGAGAGAATATTGCCGCGCGCGCTTTATTTGCTTGAATCACACAATTCCGCCCCGAGTGCCCTGCCCCTCGTGGAAGATTTATCTCGCGTGACTCGGCTGGCCGCACGTTGCGCGATTTATCGACGTGGAATACGCGCTTCATCGTTCGACGAGGAGGCGCGCGTTTGCTTACCCGCCACGAGAGACGATTCGCTCTGCCGTCCCCGGACACACGCGAGATTACCATTATCGGGATAATTCACGTGGCCGCGAGATAGACCGACAGATCCGCGGAGAGCTTGAAATTCAAGTTATATACAGGATGCCTGACGCAAGCCGTACCACCATCCGTCATAGATTTGCAGTTCAGGTCGAGGGTGAAGAAAAAAAATCCTTCACCATTCTGCAATCGGCCGCGCAAAATTTCGACTTGTTTCATTATTGATGCTATGTATAGAGACCTCTTGAATTAATAACTTAAAAATTTGCAAAATAGTCAAGGACTTTATTGAACCTGTCGCTGAGTACAACACCTTTTGTTCGCACACTATCAATGTGTGACGGATGCTTGCGTCAGGCACCCTTTATAAGAAAGTTAAAGAGCCATCCTCCCAACGTTACTTATAATGCAATGCGACTTGAGCAGTCACACGGCCATATTATTAGACGCACCTGAATAATCTACTATTGAATGTCTAACAAGCATTGGTATCGTGAAGCGAGATTTTATTACAGTTATGATTAATACGATAATCGATAAAAGTAATCATGATCGGTGAATGTTCGAAGGACGGACCCGGCTCGAATCAGAACGTCTCGCTGGTCTACACGAACTCGGACGAGCATTCGCATTCGGAGGAGGTGGCGAAATTCACCGTGCCGAAGCTGACGAAGAAGTGGTCGAAGATCGTCATTAAGGTCTCCGCGACCGACGTCACCTTCTACCTCAATTGCCACGAAATGGCACGCCAGAGGGTCACCAGGATCCCGCAGAAATTAGTATTCGACACCGCCAGCACGCTCTACATCGCGCAAGCCGGACCGCACATCCAGGAACGATACGACGTGAGTATCGCGACACCTTTCGCCTTTCCGTCCGTCGTTTTTGCGCGAGCGAAAAAACAAAAGAAAGGGATATGGAAAGAAAAAAAAAAAAGGGAGAGAGGAAAGAAGGATTGGGCGCCGCGAGCGTTCGTGCGCGGCGCGACGATGCGAAACTAAACGAAACGAGCGGCGCTTGTTGCGTGGGACGTTTTCCATGGGAATCGACGTGGCCGCACTCTCGCAGTCGCGTACGTACGAAGCGGCAGCGGGCGAATAAACAGGCTCGCGTGTGCGCATCGAAACGCACACTTCTTGTTTTTCCCTTCTTTTTTTTCCCGCTCGCCGGTCCTTTTTTCCGTTTTGTCGTTTGTTACATCGACTCGACTGACGCGAAACAAACAGGTCGCGCGAATCCGAACTGTCCGCGGCTGCGAGGGAGAGCGGTAAGTTGGTTTCGTTTCGCGAAGCCGCGCCGCGCGCGTGTCTCTCTCTCCGGAACGACGTCGTTTTCGTCTCGTTCGCGGACACGGTCCGGCGAATCGATTGCGTTTTTGTCCGCGGAATATTAAACGAATTCATTAGGGACGCTCTCCGGAAAGTACTTACCGGATATCCTCGTTCGGAATTATTCCGATGATTCACCGAGCGCGCGCCCGGGAGACACGAATCTCGTGATACGTCTATCTCGAGGATATTTAAGCCTCTATAACCCGATTCTCTTTTTCCCGGTTTTGAAAGCGTGACGTAAGAGAAAACTGTCAAAGCTTGACCGCGAAATATGAAGTAACAGTCGCAAACTATTTCGAGCGAACGGTGATAGAAAATTATAGTTACTTTCGGCGCCAATCACATTTTCTAGCAGTAGACTCTCACTAGACATTTTAGTTGATTAATATTCCTGTATTATCTTGAAATAATACGCACTTTCTGGCGTAAGAAGTGGGAAATGTTATAAAGAAACCGTTTGGTGGCAGTGTGATGCGCCTAGCGATGAACGGACAAAATCAAAAAGAATGTAGAGGTGTAGTATATATGACTCTTTTCAGGTTAACACGGTGTAATAGAGGGTTAATTGATAGTAATAACACGGTGTAATACAGGGTAAATTGAATCCCTTCGTTGCGCTTCAAATCGATGTTACAGCATATATCGCGCTAACTCCCGCGATCGAGACAAGAACGACGCTCGTTCGGAGATCCGCGGCGAATTTTTAGCCCTACACCTTCGCCACTTGTTTCACGAGTCTCGAAGTATTAAGAGGGCGCCGGCCATAAACTTGAAAATAAAGCGCGGCAGCCGACGGCCGCGGAATTAAAAGCGGCGTGGAAGTAAATCTGGTCCGGTATATCCTTTAAGAATTTAATACTGTATCCGGCATCCTGATAAAATAAGTAAAAAGGAGGTAAAATGATGGCACGAACGTGGGAAGAGCGCCGGCTAAGGGGCCGGTGGCTTCGGAAGGAGTGGAGAGAAGGTACGAAATACCTCATCGAAATCCTATATATCGATGTTACAGATCTGTTGCCTCGGTTTCCACTATCGCTCTCTCAAAGAGCACTCGAGCACGGTTCGAAAATCTGCCGCACACAATGAAAGACGAAAGATTCTCGTCGTTCGGCCGTTTACGTTTAATTAGAGAGCAGCAATTTCTGATCGATCTTTCCGCATTAGCGGGAATTTATTGCCGAAAAGGAATTTATCAGAATTACATCAGAAGCCGGAGTGTAATTTATTTGTCGTAACTACGATCGCGGAAATTTCATTTGAATATTGCACGAAAGTAACAGGATATAAAATAATGGCGCGCGTGCACGCGATATGAGAGACGATAATGATGCCAAGATAATGATTCTAACGTTAACACTGATAATACATACAATGGCCCATTTTTTTGTTTAATACGGTTTAATATATAAAAGAAATATTGCGTGTTGAAAAAATATTTGGAACGAAAGGGCTTAGAGGGAGACAAAGGTGGTGACTTTAACGATTTCGTTGTGTAGTCAATAATTCAAGATCATTTTAAAGTCAAATTCATTTCCTTAATAGAATCATATAGTTTTTTTTCTTTTTTAACAAATCGATTTCGTTTATTCTGCGTATAAAAATATTAGGGTGAGATCATCACTCAAAAATGTACACTTTTCGTGATATTTTACTTTTTATTTTGATATTTTCTACCATAAAATATGAAATGTCTCGTAAAATATTCACTTTTCGAATATCGCATTTTCCTATATAATAATATGAGAAAATTGATTATTGATATTATTAATTGCACATTGGTGCATCGATGCATTTGCATAATGCGACGAATTTTCTTAAGGTTTTTCTATGTTTGCTTACAGCGACGATTTCACCTGTCATTCTACGTACAAAGTTTTGAAGTGATGTTAGCGGGAAATGATACTTTATGAGACATTCCATACTTCGTGTGCTAAAAAATATAAGAATAAAATGTAAAATATCTTGAAAAGTATTCACTTTTCGATGATCTTACCCCAGTATTTTTATACGCAGAGTGAATAGAAAAATGTATTTGCGTTAAAAACACTATATGATTCTATTAAAAAAATAAAGTTAACTTTAAAATGATCTCGGATTATTGACTATGTAACAAAATCAAAGTTAATAACTTATGTCCTCCTTCAAACCTTATAGCTTTTGTTTAAAACCTTTTCTTTCTAAAACGCGATGTTTCTTATACACGTAAGTATATTCTTTAAAATGGGACACCCAGTATAAAACATTAATAAGATAATAATAAGAAGGAGTGACATTAAATTAAATTATAATCGGGGAAATAAAGATATTAACGATGTACGATGATGGAAGGCGGGAGCGATAAAGCGGAGATCCGAGTAAATATCAACGATCGCTTTGAAGTTGCGTTTCTCCAGACAATGACACTTTTACGTATAATCGTGTTTTGCGTCGAATAATTAATATCGCAGCGTGCGTGCATGGCAACAGCATTTAAACGTAACATCGCGAGCCTTTAAAATCGCCGTATCACATTAACAACAAGGACAGGCATGATTACGTATCATCGATACGGCAGAGAGGATAATTAGTCCTCATCCTGGCGCTGCACGATCATCTACAGAGGGGTTGTCCACATGTTGCATATCGATGCACGAAATGCATTGATTTACTCGATCCTTCGTTAATTAGTCAACCGCGATAATAGGCAGCCTGTGACACACTACAATATTTCGCATCGCTGTGTACCATTGCTTTTATCCCCCCCCCCCTCTCTCTCTCTCTCTCTTTTTATTTCTCTTGCGATAATTAATTCATGCGCTATGTTAATGAATTTGCACGTCGAACATCCGCGGGTCTTTTACGGTTTTATCCGGAGCTATGCAAAATAAACATAATTTTTACGTATTAATTAATATTTAGTTTCATCCCCGACGTATTTTAATGCACGAACAGACATATTACAGATAGAGAGAGAGAGAGGGGGGGAGAGGGAGGGGGAAAGAAGAGAGAGAGCGAGTGAGAGGCAGTTACGAACTTTGTGCATTAATTTAACAAGCTCTGCTAAAATCGTCTACTTTGTAAAACATAATTATCAGCCATCTTATCGTCAGCAAAGTACGGGGAGGAAATTTCCATTTCGGTCGCGTCGAGAGGAGTGGAAGAGGAGGAATATCGTTTCGCGTGTCCTTGCGAAAATATCATCCGCGGAAATTATTGAAGAATTCACATATCCGCGAATATAACACTGAAATCTAACGGAAGCTTTTAATGATTCAAACGAGAGATCAGAATGTACAATAAGCTCAATCACAACGGCGCATGATAATCGATCGATGATCTCGCGGTATATTTCGTCCACAGGCATCGGGAAAAGCGGAAAGGAAACGTGTAATGTCGCTGGCAGCTAATAAAATACAGTTTGCTCGAGAGTATCACGGATAAAATATGAGAAGCGCGGAAAATATGAAAAAGCGAAAAATATTCACGGCAAGCTCGCATTGCTTTAACATATTTTCAGTTTACAAGCTTGTGCGCTGCTCAAGATCTTGCGGAAAAATTTTCCCAAATTTTCTCATGTACAGTATAGATTCTAATTATTAGAATACCCAAAGTCGTCCCAAAATTGGTTATCTCACTACGATAACAATGGGAAATCCCATTTCAATCCCAAATATAGAATGAAGTGTATCTTTTGCGATATTTATTGTCCGCACAGAAAAAATGTTGGAATCAAATAAATGTAATTACCTGTTTATCCGTTCTCTTAAATCAAATAAAATTTTTATTAATTTAACTATATTTTAACAGCTTGTGGTAAATATTTACTTAAACGTAGTAATACTTTAATTTTCAAATGAATCGTTGAATAAAAGTGTAAAATAGTTTTGAATCTAAGAAAAGATCTACTATCGAATTATGTAATATTTATTTCTCATTGAAGAAATCTAGAGGTCTTTTAAATTTCGATTTTTCTGTCCAGTAAATATTTTCTAAAAATAAATTCTATTATCCTCAATATTGTGAATTTAATACTTGTTGCGATTGTTCTAACATATACAAATCAATGTCTACTTAACGAAGGAAATATCATAATGTATACATATAGCCAAATATATTTCTACTTGTAGTAAATATCTGCCAAAGAGTATCGGAATAATCATTTTACTTAGATCAAGTAAATATTATTTGAACGGTACCCTGTTGAAGAAAAACCGAGTGTAAATTCATATAGAAATCCATATGGAATCCCATATTGAATGGTGGCCTATAGGGATTTGGGCCAAAAGTCGAGATCTTAGGCAACGATCTATATAGATTTCCATATAGATTTCCACACACCATGTGAAGATTCCTGTATGGATTTTCACCATGTAGATTCCTGTATAGATTTTTAACATCCTATGTGGATTCACATGAGTTCCTTTAGATTTCTATGGGAATTAACTTGAAAATTTTCAACAGAATTTTTGACAGGGAAAATTTTCACGCTTTTTTTGCAGTGTGTGCGCTGCGGCTTGCTTTGTGCCGCGCGCGAC